TTTTTTTACATCTCAGGTTTGTATCTGTGTAAAGTGCAACGCCTCCAGCCCTTTTATTAATCCGATTGACGGTGAACAGTTCATATCCATCTGATTCTACGTCACAGCCAAGTCTCAGACACAGCTATGCCATTTTCTAAATTGACGAAGGTAATATTTAATGTTGTTAACATTTTTGTTCAAACTCTTGCTATCGAAGTGAATAATGCTAAAGGATCCATTCATATTAATGCTTTTAAATTGTTCATCAGTATTGCACATTCTGACGGTATTGCACATTCTGAGAGTATTGCACATTCTGACAGTATTGCACATTCTGAGAGTATTTCACATTCTGACAGTATTTCACATTCTGACAGTATTGCACATTCTGACAGTATTGCACATTCTGAGAGTATTGCACATTCTGACAGTATTGCACATTCTGAGAGTATTGCACATTCTGACAGTATTTCACATTCTGACAGTATTGCACATTCTGAGTATTGCACATTCTGATAGTATTTCACATTCTGACAGTATTGCACATTCTGACAGTATTTCACATTCTGACTGTATTTCACATTCTGACGGTATTGCACATTCTGAGAGTATTGCACATTCTGACAGTATTTCACATTCTGACTGTATTGCACATTCTGACGGTATTGCACATTCTGAGAGTATTGCACATTCTGACAGTATTTCACATTCTGACTGTATTGCACATTCTGACAGTATTGCACATTCTGACAGTATTGCACATTCTGACAGTATTTCACATTCTGACGGTATTGCACATTCTGAGAGTATTACCCATTCTGACTGTATTGCACATTCTGACGGTATTGCACGTTGTACAGATGCATGACATGTGAGGTCAGGTCGGCATGTATCCATAGTCCTTGTTGCTTGTTGTACAGTCTGACAGCAGCAGGACCTACTGAACCTCTTCTTCACACAGAGAGTGGATAAGTATGTCACTGCAGCTGCTCTCTTGAGCAGGGAGCGACAGTCATGGTCCACATGGATGTTGGTCCAGGACAGAGCTAGTCTTCCTGATGTTCCAGCTTCTTCCTCTGATGTTGAGTGAACAAAGCTGAGAAGACCACGATATATGAAGTATATACAGCCGCCTCCATCCCCCCGCCCCTTCTGTCCAACTGCGTCTATAAAGCTCAGTGCTGCAGGAAGAGCCAGACGTAGGAGTCGTCAGACGTCAGGGGCCCCAGGACGTTCACACACACGTCCTGCTGCTCCAGGAGCCTCTCTGCAGGAACCTCCACCCTCAGAGTCTGCAGCACATGGAGGCACAGGGCCCAGCGGGGGCTGCCCCTGCCATCCTACAGAAAACACACACACACACTTATAATCATCTAAAAAGAAATGAAGAGAGGGGTGTGCATAAGACACACACACACACACAGACACACAGACAGACACACACACACACACACACACACACACAAAAACACACACACACAGAGACACACACACACACAAACACGCAAAAAGACACACACAGAGACAGAGACACACACAGACACACACACACTCACAGAGATCCTCGTCGTGCACACGCCCAGAGACTCGAACCACACCGAGCCCAAGATCTGCAGAGACCAAGGCCAGTCCTCCAGCAGGTCCCGTAGGTCCATGAGTCCTCAGTCCTCCTGGTCCAGGGTCCTCAGTCCTCCTGGTCCAGGGTCCTCAGTCCTCCTGGTCCAGGTCCTCAGTCGTGTGAGCAGCAGGTGTTGTAGTGTCACATGGTTCTCCTGGTCTCAGATTAGAGATAAAGCTGCTTTGTGATGTCACCAAGAGAGAAACAGACTGGAACCTCCTCTGGGCTCTCAGGCTCTGTTTAGCCCGTTCCTCTTTACAAAACAGCTCCAGCTCTGTCAGATCAAAGGAGAGCAATTGTATTTGTAATTATATATATATATAAAATATATATAAATACATATATGATATATATGGAGCTGAGCATGTCATGTCCAGCAGAGGGCGCCACAGACTCAGAGTCCAGGGCTGTTCCAGAGTGTGACGTCAGCCCAGGGTGAGAACTGAGTCCCACCCACGGCCACAGGGGGCGCTGTGGTACTGCAGACTAAATTCAAGAGAGGCTGCCCAGAAAAAAGTCCCATAGAACTCAACGTATATTAAAACAGCTCGACCTCAGCTGATAGAGAACCTGACAGAGAACCTGACAGAGAACCTACAGAGAACCTGACAGAGAACCTACAGAGAACCTGACAGAGAACCTACAGAGAACCTGACAGAGAACCTGACAGAGAATCTACAGAGAACCTGACAGAGAACCTACAGAGAACCTGACAGAGAACCTGAGATCTATAGGAAACTCTCAAAGATCTCTGTGAAACTCTCAAAGATCTATGGGAAACTCTCAAAGATCTATAGGAAACTCTCAAAGATCTTTGGGAAACTCTCAAAGATCTATGGGAAACTCTCAAAGATCTATGGGAAACTCTCAAAGATCTATGGGAAACTCTCAAAGATCTATGGGAAACTCTCAAAGATCTATGGGAAACTCTCAAAGATCTCTGTGAAACTCTCAAAGATCTATGGGAAACTCTCAAAGATCTATGGGAAACTCTCAAAGATCTATGGGAAACTCTCAAAGATCTCTGTGAAACTCTCAAAGATCTATGAGAAACTCTCAAAGATCTATGGGAAACTCTCAAAGATCTATGGGAAACTCTCAAAGATCTATGAGAAACTCTCAAAGATCTATGGGAAACTCTCAAAGATCTATGGGAAACTCTCAAAGATCTATGGGAAACTCTCAAAGATCTATGGGAAACTCTCAAAGATCTATGGGAAACTCTCAAAGATCTATGAGAAACTCTCAAAGATCTATGGAAACTCTCAAAGATCTATGAGAAACTATCAAAGATCTTTGGGAAACTCTCAAAGATCTATGGGAAATTCTCAAAGATCTATGGGAAACTCTCAAAGATCTATGGGAAACTCTCAAAAATCTATGGGAAACTCTCAAAGATCTATGGAAACTCTCAAAGATCTATGAGAAACTCTCAAAGATCTATGAGAAACTCTCAAAGATCTATGGGAAACTCTCAAAGATCTATGGGAAACTCTCAAAGATCTTTGGGAAACTCTCAAAGATCTATGGGAAACTCTCAAAGATCTATAGGAAACTCTCAAAGATCTTTGGGAAACTCTCAAAGATCTATGGGAAACTCTCAAAGATCTATGGGAAACTTTCAAAGATCTATGGGAAACTCTCCTGTATTTGGGCATCGTCTGGTCCTCCCGGTTCTGCGCAGTGGATGATCTTCCATAATGCATTGCACCAAACACGTTGCCTGGCCTGCCAAACGATATGCTTTTTCAAAGACATATAGTCTGGGAACGAGCTTGATCTCAGCGAATTCCCAGTGGGCGTGGTTGACAGACTGCATCAACCAATTAGATGCACACAGGATATGACGCAGCAACTAGCGGCACCCAAGCCGTTTCAGTAAACACAAAACAAGGGATGGCGGCATGTCAGCTAGTGCAAATGTAAACGACTGCTGTCGATTTTGTAACAAAAACTTAAAGATACGAGGAGTTATTAGCAACTCAAAGGTGAAAGGAAGTCCCGCCTCTCGGTGCGTGATTGGACCGATGTGGGTAAAATCGTGAAATGATAGGCTAGGAAGAGGTGTCCAGACGGTACTTCTTTTGAACAGAAAGGAGGAGTGTCTGGCAGGCCAGGCAACCAAACACGCGTGTGTGGGTCTCACACCGGGTCTCACGCACGTGCACAGAGGGGCTCGGCCGCGCTCTGACCAATCAGAGCAGTTCATCAGAGCGGGAGTTAGAGCGAGAGCCAGACGAGCAGAGTTTGTGGCACTAAAGTGTGGATTTAAACAAAACCGAAGGATTTAAGAAGAAAAGAAGTTCAGGACGACAAGGGACACTAACATCCCCACAAAATCTGACCGTTATGAAAGCTGAAGGTTCTCTGTCAGGTTCTCTGTCAGCTGAGGTTGAGCTATTTTAATATGCATTGAGTTCTATGGGGAAAATCTCTGGGTAGCCCACGTGAATTTAGTCTGGTTCAGTCTGGTTCAGTCTGCAGTACCGCGAGAATCCCCCGAGCACATGAGTTATTCAGCTACAAGCTGTAATACTCTATCCAGTTAATATAATAGATCCATGCTGAAGCCTTATCCTCCATCTCTGACTCCTCCTGTCTCTGACTCCCCCCCTCTCTCTGTCTCCCCCCTGCCCCTCAGAGGAGGGGGTGTTGCCTGCTGCTGTGGTGCCCCGCCCCCCCACGGTCAAACTCGGAGCACGAGAGGTGGAGAGGCTGAAGAAGACTGCGGAGAAGGTCCAACAGGCTCAAGAGAGGATCCAGAAGAGAAAGGAGGAGTGGGAGCAGCTGTAAGTACTGACCCAGAGGAGCAGCTGTAAGTACTGACCCAGAGGAGCAGCTGTAAGTACTGACCCAGAGGAACAGCTGTAAGTACTAACCCAGAGGAACGGTTGTACGTACTGACCCAGAGGAACGGTTGTAAGTACTGACCCAGAGGAGCAGCTGTAAGTACTGACCCAGAGGAGCAGCTGTAAGTACTGACCCAGAGGAGCAGCTGTAAGTACTGACCCAGAGGAACAGCTGTAAGTACTGACCCAGAGGAACGGTTGTAAGTACTGACCCAGAGGAACGGCTGTAAGTACTGACCCAGAGGAACAGCTGTAAGTACTAACCCAGAGGAACGGTTGTAAGTACTGACCCAGAGGAACGGCTGTAAGTACTGACCCAGAGGAACAGCTGTAAGTACTGACCCAGAGGAACAGTTGTAAGTACTGACCCAGAGGAACAGCTGTAAGTACTAACCCAGAGGAACGGTTGTAAGTACTGACCCAGAGGAACAGCTGTAAGTACTAACCCAGAGGAACGGTTGTAAGTACTGACCCAGAGGAACGGTTGTAAGTACTGACCCAGAGGAGCAGCTGTAAGTACTGACCCAGAGGAGCAGCTGTAAGTACTGACCCAGAGGAGCAGCTGTAAGTACTGACCCAGAGGAACAGCTGTAAGTACTAACCCAGAGGAACGGTTGTAAGTACTGACCCAGAGGAACGGCTGTAAGTATTAACCCAGAGGAACAGTTGTAAGTACTGACCCAGAGGAACAGTTGTAAGTACTGACCCAGAGGAACAGCTGTAAGTATTAACCCAGAGGAACAGCTGTAAGTACTGACCCAGAGGCACAGCTGTAAGTATTAACCCAGAGGAACAGCTGTAAGTACTGACCCAGAGGAATAGCTGTAAGTATTAACCCAGAGGAACGGCTGTAAGTACTGACCCAGAGGAACAGCTGTAAGTATTAACCCAGAGGAACAGCTGTAAATACTGACCCAGAGGAGCAGTTGTAAGTACTGACCCAGAGGCACAGCTGTAAGTATTAACCCAGAGGAACGGCTGTAAGTACTGACCCAGAGGAGCAGTTGTAAGTACTGACCCAGGACAGTTATAGCTGACCAGTGTTGAAAGTGAATGAATAATGCGATGTAAAAAATCTTATCTTGAGTCCGTAAGACTTTCTCCACTGACTCCCACTGATGTCGTTGTTGTTGTGTCCTTGGGCAAGACTTCTAACCCTGCGGCTGTAAAGTGCCAAAGTGCCGTTGTGTCCATACTGGTTGCCTCGCTTCTGTCAGTGTGCCCCAGGGCAGCTGTGGCTACAGTAGAAGTTTATCACCACCATGTTTGGAGAGAAAAATAATGATGTGAAGTGTCTTTGAGTGTCCAAAATAGCGCTGTATAAAACTAATGCATTGTTATTATTATTATTATTACTCTACTCTACTCTACACTACCCAGTTACAGGGAAGTGCCTGATGAGCAGTGTGAGCAGCCGGAGGTGGTGCAGGCCATAGAACAAGCCAGAGAGACTCTGGGAGACCTGAAGCTCAAGTCCTCTGCAGACTTCACTGTCCCCAAACACCATCAAGAGACGTCAGCCAAGAAGAGACAGGAGATGGCCAGGCTGGAGGAGGAGGTACACACACATACACATACAGTACACACAACCACACACATACACATGAGGTGAGGTGAATACAGACGCTCTTTCCTCTTTCCTGCAGATGTTCCACAGAAAGACACAGTTTAACGTTCGGCTCGTGGCCTTGAGGGACCTGAAGGTTCATCTCGTCACTCGTCCCAAAGAGCTGCTGAGGCTGAGGGTCCGACCTCAGTCGCACCTGCCCTGCCCCACCCTGCCACATCTGCTGCCTGAGGAGACCCCTGAGAAGTACCACCATCCCACACGAGCTGTTCTGCAGAGATACATGGAGCTGAGGGACCAGGGCAGGTATGGACCTCCAGAGCTGAGGGACCAGGGCAGGTATGGACCTCCAGAGCTGAGGAGCCAGGGCAGGTATGGACCTCCAGAGCTGAGGGACCAGGGCAGGTATGGACCTCCAGAGCTGAGGAGCCAGGGCAGGTATGGACCTCCAGAGCTGAGGGACCAGGGCAGGTATGGACCTCCAGAGCTGAGGAGCCAGGGCAGGTATGGACCTCCAGAGCTGAGGGACCAGGGCAGGTATGGACCTCCAGAGCTGAGGAGCCAGGGCAGGTATGGACCTCCAGAGCTGAGGAGCCAGGGCAGGTATGGGCCTCCAGAGCTGAGGGACCAGGGCAGGTATGGGCCTCCAGAGCTGAGGAGCCAGGGCAGGTATGGACCTCCAGAGCTGAGGAGCCAGGGCAGGTATGGACCTCCAGAGCTGAGGAGCCAGGGCAGGTATGGACCTCCAGAGCTGAGGAGCCAGGGCAGGTATGGGCCTCCAGAGCTGAGGGACCAGGGCAGGCATGGGCCTCCAGAGCTGAGGGAGCCAGGGCAGGTATGGACCTCCAGAGCTGAGGAGCCAGGGCAGGTATGGACCTCCAGAGCTGAGGGACCAGGGCAGGTATGGACCTCCAGAGCTGAGGAGCCAGGGCAGGTATGGGCCTCCAGAGCTGAGGACCAGGGCAGGTATGGGCCTCCAGAGCTGAGGAGCCAGGGCAGGTATGGGCCTCCAGAGCTGAGGGACCAGGGCAGGTATGGGCCTCCAGAGCTGAGGAGCCAGGGCAGGTATGGGCCTCCAGAGCTGAGGGACCAGGGCAGGTATGGGCCTCCAGAGCTGAGGAGCCAGGGCAGGTATGGGCCTCCAGAGCTGAGGAGCCAGGGCAGGTATGGGCCTCCAGAGCTGAGGAGCCAGGGCAGGTATGGGCCTCCAGAGCTGAGGGACCAGGGCAGGTATGGACCTCCAGAGCTGAGGGACCAGGGCAGGTATGGACCTTCAGAGCTGAGGAGCCAGGGCAGGTATGGGCCTCCAGAGCTGAGGAGCCAGGGCAGGTATGGGCCTCCAGAGCTGAGGAGCCAGGGCAGGTATGGACCTCCAGAGCTGAGGAGCTGTTTGGATATGGGTGACATGGGTGTAAACAGTTGGATGCTGTGTCATTTGACTCACAGCGTGTTTTGTGCACTTCAGGTCCACAGCGAAGGAACCAGAGGATGACTCAGCCGTTATGGACCAGCTGTGGAGAGAGATAGGAGAGGGAAAGCACACGGACAGCACACAGGAAACCTCCAGCCACTCAGAGGAAGAAGAGGAGGAGGAGCAGGAGGAGGAGCAGAAGGAGGAGAAAGAGGAGGAGCAGGAGGAGGAGCAGGAGGAGGAGCAGGAGGAGGAGCAGGAGCAGCAGAGCGAGCTGAAGAAGGATCTAGAGACGGAGCAGCAGATCCGCCGTTTGTTCCTTCAGGACTGCACCGTAGAGCAGGTGTGTCTTGTTTCTATTAACACAGATGGTCAGTGCAGGGAAGTGCTCATGGACAAAGCACTCCCACTTTCTGTACAAGCAAAAGACTCAGTTCTGGGTCTACAGGCTCAGTCCTGGGTCTACAGGCTCAGTCCTGGGTCTACAGGCTCAGTCCTGGGTCTACAGCCTCAGTCCTGGGTCTACAGCCTCAGTCCTGGGTCTACAGCCTCAGTCCTGGGTCTACAGCCTCAGTCCTGGGTCTACAGCCTCAGTCCTGGATCTACAGCCTCAGTCCTGGGTCTACAGCCTCAGTCCTGGGTCTACAGCCTCAGTCCTGGATCTACAGCCTCAGTCCTGGGTCTACAGCCTCAGTCCAGGGTCTACAGCCTCAGTCCAGGGTATACACAGCCTCGGGCCTGGGTCTACACTCTCAGTCCTGGGTCTACGGCCTCAGTCCTGGGTCTACAGCCTCAGTCCTGGGTCTACAGCCTCAGTCCTGGGTCTACAGCCTCAGTCCTGGATTTACAGCCTCAGTCCTGGGTCTACAGCCTCAGTCCTGGGTCTACAGCCTCAGTCCTGGGTCTACAGCCTCAGTCCTGGATCTACAGCCTCAGTCCTGGGTCTACAGCCTCAGTCCTGGGTCTACAGCCTCAGTCCTGGGTCTACAGCCTCAGTCCTGGGTCTACAGCCTCAGTCCTGGGTCTACAGCCTCAGTCCTGGGTCTACAGCCTCAGTCCTGGGTCTACAGCCTCAGTCCAGGGTCTACAGCCTCAGTCCAGGGTATACACAGCCTCGGGCCTGGGTCTACACTCTCAGTCCTGGATCTACAGCCTCAGTCCTGGATCTACAGCCTCAGTCCTGGGTCTACAGCCTCAGTCCTGGGTCTACAGCCTCAGTCCTGGGTATACACAGCCTCGGGCCTGGGTCTACACTCTCAGTCCTGGGTCTACGGCCTCAGTCTAGACCTCATGTTACTGTCTGTTATTGATGTGAGTATATTATAAACTCTCTGTGTTTACTGATGTTCCTCTGATTCTCTGATCTGTTTTTGGTGAATCCACATTTTTTTTAAAGTCCTCAGAGATCACTGCTGTTGTGGTTTAGACACGAAAGTAAATTGAAATGAGTTCATATGTGTGAGAATACCCATATTAACTCATTTCAATTGTCTCTATAGCAGGAGTCTCATACATGGTCCTTAGGGGAGTCTCACACATGGTTCTTGTGGCCACAGAGGCAGAGCATGGTGCAGGAGTTTGATGGTCTGCTCCTGGTGCTCCTTCATGATAAAGTGAGTCTGGACATGGATCTAAAGTTGGCCACCCTGAGCACCATCACCATGAAGCAGGAGTTGAAGCTTCTGGAACATTACGCCAAGACTGAGGAGCGACTGCAGAGTTCTCTGGACGCCAAGGCAGACCAGCTGAACACCATCAAGGTACAACCACAGACCAGCTAGATGGTTGGCATGTTCTCCCTGTGTCTACGTAGGTTTCGTCTGCCACTAAAAACGTAAGAGATCGAAGCCTCCAGCTCCATCCATCGCCACAAGGGCCATGGAGAGCGCCCACAAAGCATGATGAATAATTAATGGCCCTTGTTGACCCAGTCTTTAGTCTCCGCCCCTTCGCTCAGCGGGTAAAAGGCAGAGACATGTGGATTACACGACAGATGAGAGTCTAAGCTTCGATCTGATCTTTAAAAAGAGTCAGGACTCACAGATATAAGAGTCCGGTTTGAGACACTAACCTTTACCCAAACTCTGTGTGTGCGATGAGCGACGGTGCACCGTGTTTTACGCACTTTTGATCAAAAACAGTTTCAAGAACAACACTTTCCTCAAGTTGAATAAATACAGCTGTAACATGTTTACCTGTTTACCTCATGAAAACAGTTTAACCAGAACCAGGAGGGACTTTAACATGTTTAACCAGAACCAGCAGTGACTTTAACATGTTTAACCAGAACCAGCAGGGACTTTAACATGTTTAACCAGAACCAGCAGGGACTTTAATATGTTTAACCAGAACCAGCAGTAACTTTAACATGTTTAACCAGAACCAGCAGTAACTTTAACATGTTTAACCAGAACCAGCAGTGACTTTAACATGTTTAACCAGAACCAGCAGGGACTTTAACATGTTTAACCAGAACCAGCAGGGACTTTAATATGTTTAACCAGAACCAGCAGTAACTTTAACATGTTTAACCAGAACCAGCAGTAACTTTAACATGTTTAACCAGAACCAGCAGTGACTTTAATATGTTTAACCAGAACCAGCAGGGACTTTAACATGTTTAGCCAGAACCAGCAGTGACTTTAACATGTTTAACCAGAACCAGCAGTGACTTTAACATGTTTAACCAGAACCAGCAGGGACTTTAACATGTTTAACCAGAACCAGCAGTAACTTTAATATGTTTAACCAGAACCAGCAGGGACTTTAACATGTTTAGCCAGAACCAGCAGTGACTTTAACATGTTTAACCAGAACCAGCAGTGACTTTAACATGTTTAACCAGAACCAGCAGGGACTTTAACATGTTTAACCAGAACCAGCAGTGACTTTAATATGTTTAACCAGAACCAGCAGGGACTTTAACATGTTTAACCAGAACCAGCAGTGACTTTAATATGTTTAACCAGAACCAGCAGTGACTTTAACATGTTTAACCAGAACCAGCAGTGACTTTAATATGTTTAACCAGAACCAGCAGGGACTTTAACATGTTTAACCAGAACCAGCAGTGACTTTAACATGTTTAACCAGAACCAGCAGTGACTTTAACATGTTTAACCAGAACCAGCAGTGACTTTAACATGTTTAACCAGAACCAGCAGTAACTTTAATATGTTTAACCAGAACCAGCAGTGACTTTAATATGTTTAACCAGAACCAGCAGTGACTTTAATATGTTTAACCAGAACCAGCAGTGACTTTAACATGTTTAACCAGAACCAGCAGTGACTTTAATATGTTTAACCAGAACCAGCAGTGACTTTAATATGTTTAACCAGAACCAGCAGTGACTTTAATATGTTTAACCAGAACCAGCAGTGACTTTAACATGTTTAACCAGAACCAGCAGTAACTTTAATATGTTTAACCAGAACCAGCAGGGACTTTAATATGTTTAACCAGAACCAGCAGTGACTTTAACATGTTTAACCAGAACCAGCAGTAACTTTAATATGTTTAACCAGAACCAGCAGTAACTTTAATATGTTTAACCAGAACCAGCAGTGACTTTAACATGTTTAACCAGAACCAGCAGTGACTTTAATATGTTTAACCAGAACCAGCAGTGACTTTAACATGTTTAACCAGAACCAGCAGTGACTTTAACATGTTTAACCAGAACCAGCAGTGACTTTAACATGTTTAACCAGAACCAGCAGTGACCTTAACATGTTTAACCAGAACCAGCAGTGACTTTAATATGTTTAACCAGAACCAGCAGGGACTTTAACATGTTTAACCAGAACCAGCAGTGACTTTAACATGTTTAACCAGAACCAGCAGGGACTTTAACATGTTTAACCAGAACCAGCAGTGACTTTAATATGTTTAACCAGAACCAGCAGTGACTTTAACATGTTTAACCAGAACCAGCAGTGACTTTAATATGTTTAACCAGAACCAGCAGGGACTTTAACATGTTTAACCAGAACCAGCAGTGACTTTAACATGTTTAACCAGAACCAGCAGTAACTTTAATATGTTTAACCAGAACCAGCAGTGACTTTAATATGTTTAACCAGAACCAGCAGTGACTTTAATATGTTTAACCAGAACCAGCAGGGACTTTAATATGTTTAACCAGAACCAGCAGTGACTTTAACATGTTTAACCAGAACCAGCAGTAACTTTAACATGTTTAACCAGAACCAGCAGTAACTTTAATATGTTTAACCAGAACCAGCAGTGACTTTAATATGTTTAACCAGAACCAGCAGTAACTTTAATATGTTTAACCAGAACAGCAGGGACTTTAATATGTTTAACCAGAACCAGCAGTGACTTTAACATGTTTAACCAGAACCAGCAGTAACTTTAATATGTTTAACCAGAACCAGCAGTAACTTTAATATGTTTAACCAGAACCAGAAGTGACTTTAATATGTTTAACCAGAACCAGCAGTGACTTTAATATGTTTAACCAGAACCAGCAGTAACTTTAATATGTTTAACCAGAACCAGCAGTAACTTTAATATGTTTAACCAGAACCAGCAGTAACTTTAATATGTTTAACCAGAACCAGAAGTGACTTTAATATGTTTAACCAGAACCAGCAGTGACTTTAACATGTTTAACCAGAACCAGCAGTGACTTTAACATGTTTAACCAGAACCAGCAGGGACTTTAACATGTTTAACCAGAACCAGCAGTGACTTTAACATGTTTAACCAGAACCAGCAGTGACTTTAACATGTTTAACCAGAACCAGCAGTAACTTTAATATGTTTAACCAGAACCAGAAGTGACTTTAATATGTTTAACCAGAACCAGCAGTGACTTTAATATGTTTAACCAGAACCAGCAGTAACTTTAATATGTTTAACCAGAACCAGCAGTAACTTTAATATGTTTAACCAGAACCAGCAGTAACTTTAATATGTTTAACCAGAACCAGAAGTGACTTTAATATGTTTAACCAGAACCAGCAGTGACTTTAACGTGAGACTGAACATAAAATGGCTGAACATTAAATGTTTAAAAGTCTAATTCATGTTAAAAGATTATAAAACATACATGTAACCCATCCATGTGTGTGTGTGTGTGTGTGTGTGTGTGTGTGGGTGTGTGTTGATGAGACTTGAACCTCTGAGATGTTGTGTTGGAGAGACTTGAGCCTCTGACATGTTGTGTTGGAGAGACTTGAACCTCTGACATGTTGTGTTGGAGAGACTTGAACCTCTGAGATGTTGTGTTGGAGAGACTTGAACCTCTGACATGTTGTGTTGGAGAGACTTGAGCCTCTGAGATGTTGTGTTGGAGAGACTTGAACCTCTGACATGTTGTGTTGGAGAGACTTGAGCCTCTGAGATGTTGTGTTGGAGAGACTTGAACCTCTGACATGTTGTGTTGGAGAGACTTGAGCCTCTGAGATGTTGTGTTGGAGAGACTTGAACCTCTGACATGTTGTGTTGGAGAGACTTGAGCCTCTGAGATGTTGTGTTGGAGAGACTTGAACCTCTGACATGTTGTGTTGGAGAGAACTTGAGCCTCTGAGATGTTGTGTTGGAGAGACTTGAACCTCTGAGATGTTGTGTTGGAGAGACTTGAACCTCTGACATGTTGTGTTGCAGTTGCGGCTGAAGGATCTGAGTGAACAGCGAGAGTCTAAGCAGAGACACATCTCCAAACTGCAGGAGCGGCTGAAGGCCCTGGGGGCAGACTTTGTGGCGTCTCTGGGAGTCTACAATAAGTGTGAAGAGTTCCTCACCAAAGTCTACAAGAAGAACGTCAAGAAAGGTCTTCAAGATCTGGAGTTGTTTTAAGCTCCATCCATGCTAATGGATGGAGCTAAAAACGTTCTTACTCAAACATGTGGCTCGGCCCCTTTCTAAGTCCTATAACAGTATGATGTCAGAAACAGATAAACTTCATTGATCTCACAATGGAGAAATGTACAAATGTATGATAACCACTTCTCTGGTCTCTGGTCTCTCTCTGGTCTCTGGTCTCTCTCTGGTCTCTCTCTGGTCTCTCTCTGGTCTCTCTCTGGTCTCTCTCTGGTCTCTCTCTGGTCTCTCTCTCTGGTCTCTCTCTGGTCTCTCTCTCTGGTCTCTCTCTGGTCTCTCTCTGGTCTCTCTCTGTTCTCTCTCTGGTCTCTCTCGGTTCTCTCTCTGGTCTCTCTCTGGTCTCTCTCTGGTCTCTCTCTGGTCTTTCTCTGGTCTCTCTCTGGTCTCTCTCTGGTCTCTCTCTGGTCTCTCTTTGGTCTCCCTCTGGTCTCTCTCTGGTCTCTCTCTGGTCTCTCTCTGGTCTTTCTCTGGTCTCTTTCTGGTCACTCTCTGGTCTCTCTCTGGTCTCTCTCTGGTCTCTCTCTGGTCTCTCTCTGGTCTTTCTCTGGTCTCTCTCTGGTCTCTCTCTGGTCTCTCTCTGGTCTCTCTTTGGTCTCCCTCTGGTCTCTCTCTGGTCTCTCTCTGGTCTCTCTCTGGTCTTTCTCTGGTCTCTTTCTGGTCACTCTCTGGTCTCTCTCTGGTCTCTCTCTGGTCTCTCTGGCAGTGGTAGAGGATGATGACAGTCAGGATGATGAAGACTGGAGCGATGATGATGATGATGATGATGATGTAGACGACAGCGTCTGTCCTCCACGTGGGTAACACACACAACTGCAACACCTGGTTTGATCATGATGACAATGGTGTCACAGACAGACAGACAGACAGGCACACAGACAGACAGACACACAGACACATAGAGAGACAGACCGACACATTGAAAGACAGACTGACAGACAGACACACTGACAGACAGACAGACAAGCATTGACTCTGACACTGACTCTAACACTGACACTGACTCTGACACTGACTCTGACTCTGACACTGACACTGACTCTGACACTGATACTGACACTGACACTGACACTGACTCCGACACTGATACTGACACTGACTCTGACACTGACTCTGATACTGACACTGACACTGACTCCGACACTGACTCTGACACTGATACTGACACTGACTCTGACACTGACTCTGACTCGGACTCTGACACTGATACTGACACTGACTCTTACACTGACACTGACACTGACTCTGACACTGACACTGACACTGACTCTGACACTGATACTGACACTGACACTGACTCTGACACTGATACTGACACTGACACTGACACTGACTCTGACACTGATACTGACACTGACTCCGACACTGACTCTGACACTGATACTGACACTGACTCTGACACTGACTCCGACACTGACTCTGACACTGACTCTGACACTGACTCTGACACTGATACTGATACTGACACTGATACTGACACTGACACTGACACTGACTCTGACACTGATACTGACACTGACTCCGACACTGACTCTGACACTGATACTGACACTGATACTGACACTGACACTGACTCCGACACTGATACTGACACTGACTCTGACACTGACTCTGATACTGACACTGACACTGACTCCGACACTGACTCTGACACTGATACTGACACTGACTCTGACACTGACTCTGACTCGGACTCTGACACTGATACTGACACTGACTCTTACACTGACACTGACACTGACTCTGACTCTGACACTGACACTGACTCTGACACTGATACTGACACTGACACTGACACTGACACTGACACTGACTCTGACACTGATACTGACACTGACTCCGACACTGACTCTGACACTGATACTGACACTGACTCTGACACTGACTCCGACACTGACTCTGACACTGACTCTGACACTGACTCTGACACTGATACTGATACTGACACTGATACTGACACTGACACTGACACTGACTCTGACACTGATACTGACACTGACTCCGACACTGACTCTGACACTGATACAGACACTGACTCTGACACTGACTCCGACACTGACTCTGACACTGACTCTGACACTGACACTGATACTGACACTGATACTGACACTGACACTGACTCTGACACTGACTCTGACTCGGACTCTGACACTGATACTGACACTGACTCTTACACTGACACTGACACTGACTCTGACTCTGACACTGACACTGACTCTGACACTGACACTGACTCTGACACTGATACTGACACTGACTCTGACACTGACTCTGACACTGACTCTGACTCGGACTCGGACTCTGACACTGACACTGATACTGACACTGACACTGACACTGACACTGACTCTGACACTGACTCTGACACTGACACTGACACTGACTCTGACTCTGACTCTGACTCTGATACTGACACTGACACTGACACTGACACTGACTCTGACACTGACTCTGACACTGACTCTAACTCTGACACTGATACTGACACTGACACTGACACTGACTCTGACTCTGACTCTGACTCTGACTCTGACTCTGACTCTGACACTGACTCTGACTCTGACTCTGACTCGGACTCGGACTCGGACTCGGACTCGGACTCGGACACTGATACTGACACTGACAGTGACACTGATACTGACTTTGACTGAAATACTGACAGACACACAGACACACTGACAGACAGAGACAGACAGACATAGACAAGAACGTTAGATGAGGTCAGGTACCTCTGCTTTAGATAAGGTCAGAGGTCAGGTACCTCTGCTTTAGATGAGGTCAGAGGTCAGGTACCTCTACTTTAGATAAGGTCAGAGGTCAGGTACCTCTGCTTTAGATGAGGTCAGAGGTCAGGTACCTCTGCTTTAGATGAGGTCAGAGGTCAGGTACCTCTGCTTTATATGTAATATAGTGATAATGATACAGACTGTGAGGAGGCTCTGTGGGAGAACACCCTGAAAATGAGGAGGCGCAGAGTGGAGCTGGAGGAGGAGCAGCAGGAGGCGCGGAGCAGTGTGGAGAACATGAGCATCGAGTGTAGAATCCTCAGCTCTGAGGTATCTCTGACTCTGACACTGACTCTGACACTGACACTGACTCTGACTCTGACACTGACTCTGACTCTGACACTGACACTGACTCTGACTCTGACACTGACACTGATACCGACTCTGACACTGACTCTGACTCTGACACTGACACTGACTCTGACTCTGACACTGACTCTGACACTGACTCTGACACTGACTCTGACTCTGACTCTGACTCTGACACTGACTCTGACTCTGACTCTGACACTGACTCTGACTCTGACACTGACTCTGACACTGACTCTGACTCTGACTCTGACACTGACTCTGACTCTGACACTGACTCTGACTCTGACTCTGACTCTGACACTGACTCTGACACTGACTCTGACTCTGACTCTGACACTGACTCTGACACTGACTCTGACACTGACTCTGACACTGACTCTGACTCTGACACTGACACTGACACCGACTCTGACTCTGACTCTGACTCTGACTCTGACTCTGACTCTGACACTGACACTGACACTGACACCGACTCTGACTCTGACTCTGACTCTGACTCTGACACTGACTCTGACACTGACTCTGACTCTGACACTGACTCTGACACTGACTCTGACACTGACTCTGACACTGACTCTGACTCTGACACTGACTCTGACACTGACTCTGACTCTGACACTGACTCTGACTCTGACACTGACTCTGACACTGACTCTGACTCTGACACTGACTCTGACACTGATTCTGACACTGACACTGACTCTGACTCTGACTCTGACACTGACTCTGACACTGACTCTGACTCTGACACTGACTCTGACACTGATTCTGACACTGACACTGACTCTGACACTGACTCTGACACTGACTCTGACACTGACTCTGACTCTGACACTGACTCTGACTCTGACACTGACTCTGACACTGACACTGACACTGACTCTGACTCTGACTCTGACTCTGACACTGACTCTGACTCTGACACTGACACTGACACTGACACTGACTCTGACACTGACACTGACTCTGACACTGACTCTGACTCTGACACTGACACTGACACTGACTCTGACTCTGACTCTGACTCTGACACTGACACTGACTCTGACTCTGACACTGACACTGACACTGACACTGACTCTGACTCTGACACTGACACTGACTCTGACTCTGACTGACTCTGACACTGACTCTGACACTGACACTGACTCTGACTCTGACTGACTCTGACACTGACTCTGACACTGACACTGACTCTGACTCTGACACTGACTGACACTGACTCTGACACTGACACTGACACTGACTCTGACTCTGACTCTGACTCTGACACTGACTCTGACACTGACTCTGACACTGACTCTGACTCTGACACTGACTCTGACACTGACTCTGACACTGACACTGACTCTGACACTGACTCTGACTCTGACTCTGACTCTGACTCTGACTCTGACACTGACTCTGACACTGACTCTGACACTGACTCTGACTCTGACACTGACTCTGACTCTGACTCTGACTCTGACACTGACTCTGACTCTGACACTGACTCTGACACTGACACTGACTCTGACACTGACTCTGACACTGACTCTGACACTGACACTGACTCTGACACTGACTCTGACTCTGACACTGACTCTGACTCTGACACTGACTCTGACTCTGACACTGACACTGACTCTGACACTGACTCTGACACTGACCTGACTCTGACACTGACACTGACTTCACTGACACTGACTCTGACTCTGACACTGACTCTGACTCTGACTCTGACACTGACTCTGACTCTGACACTGACACTGACACTGACTCTGACACTGACTCTGACACTGACTCTGACTCTGACACTGACTCTGACTCTGACTCTGACACTGACTCTGACACTGACTCTGACTCTGACACTGACTCTGACACTGACACTGACATTGACTCTGACACTGACACTGACATTGACTCTGACACTGACACTGACTCTGACACTGACTCTGACACTGACTCTGACACTGACACTGACTCTTACACTGACTCTTACACTGACACTGACTCTTACACTGACTCAAACACTGACACTGATCTCTGACTCTGACACTGACTCTGACTCTGACACTGACATTGACTCTGACTCTGACACTGACACTGACTCTGACACTGACTCTTACACTGACTCAAACACTGACACTGATCTCTGACTCTGACACTGACTCTGACTCTGACACTGACTCTTACACTGACACTGACTCTTACACTGACTCAAACACTGACACTGATCTCTGACTCTGACACTGACTCTGACACTGACACTGACACTGACATTGACTCTGACACTGACACTGACATTGACTTTGACACTGACACTGACACTGACTCTGACACTGACATTGACTTTGACACTGACACTGACTCTGACTCTGACACTGACTCTGACACTGACTCTGACACTGACACTGACTCTTACACTGACTCTTACACTGACACTGACTCTTACACTGACTCTGACACTGACTCTGACTCTGACACTGACATTGACTCTGACACTGACACTGACTCTGACACTGACTCTTACACTGACTCAAACACTGACACTGACTCTGACTCTGACTCTGACTCTGACTCTGACACTGACTCTGACTCTGACTCTGACACTGACACTGACTCTGACACTGACTCTGACTCTGACACTGACACTGACACTGACACTGACTCTGACTCTGACACTGACTCTGACACTGACTCTTACACTGACTCTGACTCTGACACTGACTCTGACACTGACTCTGACACTGACTCTTACACTGACACTGAGTCTGGCACTGACTCTGACTCTGACACTGACTCTGACTCTGACTCTGACACTGACTCTGACACTGACATTCACTCTGACTCTGACACTGACACTGACACTGACTCTGACACTGACACTGACTCTTACACTGACTCAAACACTGACACTGATCTCTGACTCTGACACTGACTCTGACTCTGACTCTGACACTGACACTGACACTGACACTGACTCTGACACTGACTCTGACTCTGACACTGACTATGACACTGACTCTTACACTGACTCTGACTCTGACACTGACTCTGACACTGACTCTGACACTGACTCTTACACTGACACTGACTCTGGCACTGACTCTGACTCTGACACTGACTCTGACTCTGACTCTGACACTGACTCTGACACTGACACTGACTCTGACACTGACTCTGACTCTGACACTGACTCTGATCTCTGACCTCAGGGGATCCTGGGCTCGGGTCTCGCTCTGAAAGTTCAGGAGCAACATCGACAGAAGCACTAGAAGAGGAGGCACCCGGCTATATAGGGGGGGAGGGGGGATAGAGGAGGCATACATATATATACATACATACATACATATATGTATATATATATACATACATATATGTATATATATACATACATATATGTATATATATACACATATGTGTAATCCAGCACCCTGAGACTGTACGTAAGCCGTAAAGAAGGAGGCCGAGGACTAGTGAGTGTGAGAGCCACTGTCCAGGACGAAACATCCAAACTCCATAACTACATCATGGAGAAGGCCAAAACGGATGACGTACTCAGTGAATACCTACACGGCATGTACCACCGGAGCATAACAGAAGTGGCTGATCTCAAGAAGTCCTACCAATGGCTAGAAAGGGCTGGCCTACAGGACAGCACAGAGGCACTCATCATGGCTGCACAGGAACAGGCACTGAGCACCAGAGCGATAGAGGCCCAGATATACCACACCAGACAAGACCCAAGGTGTCGGTTGTGCAAAGAGGCACCTGAGACGATCCAACACATAACTGCAGGGTGCAAGATGCTGCAGGGAAGGCCTACATGGAACGCCATAACCAAGTGGCTGCCTAGTGTACAGAAACATCTGTGCAGAGTATGGGCTGGAAACCCCAAGGTCTAAGAAACTCCTCCAAAGGTGGTGGAGAATGAGCAAAGATCCTGTGGGACTTCCAGATACAGACCGACCGAATGGTAATGAACCAACCTGACATCGTGGTGGTGGACAAAGGGCAGAGGACAGCCGTGGTGGTGGACAAAGGGCAGAGGACAGCCGTGGTGGTGGACAAAGGGCAGAGGACAGCCGTGGTGGTGGACAAAGGACAGAGGACAGCCGTGGTGGTGGACAAAGGGCAGAGGACAGCCGTGGTGGTGGACAAAGGGCAGAGGACAGCCGTGGTGGTGGACAAAGGGCAGAGGACAGCCGTGGTGGTGGACAAAGGGCAGAGGACAGCCGTGGTGGTGGACAAAGGGCAGAGGACAGCCGTGGTGGTGGACAAAGGGCAGAGGACAGCCGTGGTGGTGGACAAAGGGCAGAGGACAGCCGTGGTGGTGGACAAAGGGCAGAGGACAGCCGTGGTGGTGGACAAAGGGCAGAGGACAGCCGTGGTGGTGGACAAAGGGCAGAGGACAGCCGTGGTGGTGGACAAAGGGCAGAGGACAGCGTGGTGGTGGACAAAGGGCAGAGGACAGCCGTGGTAGTGGACAAAGGGCAGAGGACAGCCGTGGTGGTGGACAAAGGGCAGAGGACAGCCGTGGTGGTGGACAAAGGGCAGAGGACAGCCGTGGTGGTGGACGTGGCAATTCCAAGCGATGGTAACATCAGGAAAAAAGAACATGAAAAGCTTGAGAAATACCAAGGTCTCAGAGAGGAGCTGGAGAGGGCCTGGAGGGTAAAGGTCACAGTAGTGAGAGGGCCTGGAGGGTAAAGGTCACAGTAGTGAGAGGGCCTGGAGGGTAAAGGTCACAGTAGTGAGAGGGCCTGGAGGGTAAAGGTCACAGTAGTGCCCGTGGTGATCGGTGCACTCGGGGCAGTGACCCCGAAGCTAGAAGAGGTTACAGCGGATCCCTGGAACAACCTCGGACATCTGGGTCCAGAAATGTGCAGTGCTAGGAACAGCAAAGATACTGAACCCTCAGGCTCCCAGGAGGCTCCCAGGACCCGAGCTTAGAGAGGGATAACCGCCCGCGGAGGGCCAAAGGTGAGTGGACAATTTATTTATTTTTTTATATATTTATATATATATATATATATATATTATATATACATATATAAAAATATGTATATATATATACATATATATATATATAATGTACAGACCTCAACCCCATTGACAATCTCTTGGAAGTTTTCATCTAATCCATACTTAAGTTTTGATATTACAGAAAGTTAAGTCAAAAGGGCAATAGATAAACTAAAAGTTAAGAAACGACTGGATTTGACAACTTGTCTAAAACAGCCTGCTTTGTTCCCACTGCTCCATATTTAATATATATGATATATATTTTATATATATATATTTTGTTTACCTGCTTTGAGCAGGGCTTGATCCTTTCAGACTGGCACAAATCTGTGATCAAACCTATTCCAAAGTCACAGAGACCCTGGAGTGTGAAGTACAGAGGAGTAAGTCTTGTTAGTGTGTACAAACTGTATAGCAGGATTGTTAATGAGACTGACGTGTTCCCTGGACTCCCTTAACCTTCTGTCTGACGAACACAACGGGTTTAGGAAGAACAGAGCCTGTATAGATCACATTTATTCTCTCGTCTCCGGAGCAAACGCTAGAAAACAAGAGGGAAAGTCTACATTTGCTCTTTCAGAAAGCCTTTGACTGTGTTAATCGAGATTTACTTGGCTTTATGTTATTAAAAATGGGGATTGATGGTACAGTTTATGACGCAGTTAAAGCTATTTATAAAAATCCAATTTCTTGTGTTCAAGTAAATGAGCACTGACTGTTCCGTAAACCAGGGTGATGTCCGGTCTCACACATTATTTCAGAAGAAGAGGCAGACGTGGGCATTAATGTGGGAGACTAGAAACTTTGTATTCTGATGGTATCTTACGTGGACGACATGGTGCTCTTAGCCCAAAAGGAATCAGACCTTCAGAAAATGTTGAATATTGTTCATGCTTGGTGCAACAAAATGAGACTGATGATAAATTCTGATTAAACTCAAGTTATGCATTTCAGAAGAAGTACCCAGGCATTATCAGACAAATTCTGTTTTGGCACCACAGTTCTTTTACTAAAAAGTCAGTGCTGTTACGAATAAAGTGAAGGCGTGTCGTGATCTCTGTTTAAGACCTACACTGAGCTGTCCAGAGCTGGGGTCAGTCTGGTGTTGGACTATGGGGCTGGGGTCTCTCTGGTGTTGGACTATGGGGCTGGGGTCTCTCTGGTGTTGGACTATGGGGCTGGGGTCTGTCTGGTGTTGGACTATGGGGGGTGGGGTCTCTCTGGTGTTGGACTATGGGGCTGGGGTCTCTCTGGTGTTGGACTATGGGGCTGGGGTCTGTCTGGTGTTGGACTATGGGGCTGGGGTCTGTCTGGTGTTGGACTATGGGGCTGGGGTCTCTCTGGTGTTGGACTATGGGGCTGGGGTCTCTCTGGTGTTGGACTATGGGGCTGGGGTCTCTCTGGTGTTGGACTATGGGGCTGGGGTCTCTCTGGTGTTGGACTATGGGGCTGGGGTCTGGGTGTTGGACTATGGGCTGGGTCTGTCTGGTGTTGGACTATGGGGCTGGGGGTCTCTCTGGTGTTGGACTATGGGGCTGGGGTCTCTCTGGTGTTGGACTATGGGGCTGGGGTCTGTCTGGTGTTGGACTATGGGGCTGGGGTCTCTCTGGTGTTGGACTATGGGGCTGGGGTCTCTCTGGTGTTGGACTATGGGGCTGGGGTCTGTCTGGTGTTGGACTATGGGGCTGGGGTCTGTCTGGTGTTGGACTATGGGGCTGGGGTCTGTCTGGTGTTGGACTATGGGGCTGGGGTCTCTCTGGTGTTGGACTATGGGGCTGGGGTCTTCTGGTGTTGGACTATGGGGCTGGGGTCTGTCTGGTGTTGGACTATGGGGGCTGGGGTCTCTCTGGTGTTGGACTGGGGGGCTGGGGTCTCTCTGGTGTTGGACTATGGGGCTGGGGTCTCTCTGGTGTTGGACTATGGGGCTGGGGTCTCCTGGTGTTGGACTATGGGGGGCTGGGGTCTCTCTGGTGTTGGACTATGGGGCTGGGGTCTGTCTGGGGCTGTTGGACTATGGGGCTGGGGTCAGTCTGGTGTTGGACTATGGGGCTGGGGTCTCTCTGGTGTTGGACTATGGGGCTGGGGTCTCTCTGGTGTTGGACTATGGGGCGGGGGTCTCTCTGGTGTTGGGCTATGGGTGGCTAGGGCTGGGTCTGTCTGGTGTTGGGGCTATGGGGCTATGGGGCGGGTCTGTCTGGTGTTGGACTATGGGGCTGGGGTCTGTCTGGTGTTGGACTATGGGGCTGGGGTCTTCTGGTGTTGGACTATGGGGCTGGGGTCTCTCTGGTGTTGGGGCTACTATGGGGCTGGGGTCAGTCTGTTGACTATGGTGTTGGACTATGGGGCTGGGGTCTTCTGGTGTTGGACTATGGGGCTGGGGTCTGTCTCTGGTGTTGGACTATGGGGCTGGGTCAGTCTGGTGTTGGACTATGGGGCTGGGGTCTGTCTGGTGTGGGACTTGTGGGGGGCTGGGGTCTCTGGTGTTGGACTATGGGCTGGGGTCTGTCTGGTGTTGGACTATGGGGCTGGGGTCTTCTGGTGTTGGACTATGGGGCTGGGGTCTGTCTGGTGTTGGACTATGGGGCTGGGGTCAGTCTGGTGTTGGACTATGGGGCTGGGGTCTCTCTGGTGTTGGACTATGGGGCTGGGGTCTGTCTGGTGTTGGACTATGGGGGGGGTCACTGGTGTTGGATATGGGGCTGGGGTCAGTCTGGTGTTGGACTATGGGGCTGGGGTCAGTCTGGTGTTGGACTATGGGGCTGGGGTCAGTCTGGTGTTGGACTATGGGGCTGGGGTCAGTCTGGTGTTGGACTATGGGGCTGGGGTCAGTCTGGTGTTGGACTATGGGGCTGGGGTCTCTGGTGTTGGACTATGGGGCTGGGGTCTTCTGGTGTTGGACTATGGGGCTGGGGTCAGTCTGGTGTTGGACTATGGGGCTGGGGTCTGTCTGGTGTTGGACTATGGGGCTGGGGTCTGGTGGTGTTGGACTATGGGGCTGGGGTCTCTCTGGTGTTGGACTATGGGGCTAGGGTCTGTCTGGTGTTGGACTATGGGGCTGGGGTCTGTCTGGTGTTGGACTATGGGGCTGGGGTCTCTCTGGTGTTGGACTATGGGGCTGGGGTCTGTCTGGTGTTGGACTATGGGGCTGGGGTCAGTCTGGTGTTGGACTATGGGGCTGGGGTCAGTCTGGTGTTGGACTATGGGGCTGGGGTCTCTCTGGTGTTGGACTATGGGGCTGGGGTCTGTCTGGTGTTGGACTATGGGGCTGGGGTCAGTCTGGTGTTGGACTATGGGGCTGGGGTCTCTCTGGTGTTGGACTATGGGGCTGGGGTCTGTCTGGTGTTGGACTATGGGGCTGGGGTCTGTCTGGTGTTGGACTATGGGGCTGGGGTCTGTCTGGTGTTGGACTATGGGGCTGGGGTCTGTCTGGTGTTGGACTATGGGGCTGGGGTCTGTCTGGTGTTGGACTATGGGGCTGGGGTCAGTCTGGTGTTGGACTATGGGGCTGGGGTCAGTCTGGTGTTGGACTATGGGGCTGGGGTCTGTCTGGTGTTGGACTATGGGGCTGGGGTCTGTCTGGTGTTGGACTATGGGGCTGGGGTCAGTCTGGTGTTGGACTATGGGGCTGGGGTCTCTCTGGTGTTGGACTATGGGGCTGGGGTCTGTCTGGTGTTGGACTATGGGGCTGGGGTCAGTCTGGTGTTGGACTATGGGGCTGGGGTCAGTCTGGTGTTGGACTATGGGGCTGGGGTCAGTCTGGTGTTGGACTATGGGGCTGGGGTCAGTCTGGTGTTGGACTATGGGGCTGGGGTCTCTCTGGTGTTGGACTATGGGGCTAGGGTCTGTCTGGTGTTGGACTATGGGGCTAGGGTCTGTCTGGTGTTGGACTATGGGGCTGGGGTCTCTCTGGTGTTGGACTATGGGGCTGGGGTCAGTCTGGTGTTGGACTATGGGGCTGGGGTCAGTCTGGTGTTGGACTATGGGGCTGGGGTCTGTCTGGTGTTGGACTATGGGGCTGGGGTCTCTCTGGTGTTGGACTATGGGGCTGGGGTCAGTCTGGTGTTGGACTATGGGGCTGGGGTCTCTCTGGTGTTGGACTATGGGGCTGGGGTCTGTCTGGTGTTGGACTATGGGGCTGGGGTCAGTCTGGTGTTGGACTATGGGGCTGGGGTCTCTCTGGTGTTGGACTATGGGGCTGGGGTCTGTCTGGTGTTGGACTATGGGGCTGGGGTCTCTCTGGTGTTGGACTATGGGGCTGGGGTCAGTCTGGTGTTGGACTATGGGGCTGGGGTCTGTCTGGTGTTGGACTATGGGGCTGGGGTCTGTCTGGTGTTGGACTATGGGGCTGGGGTCTGTCTGGTGTTGGACTATGGGGCTGGGGTCTCTCTGGTGTTGGACTATGGGGCTGGGGTCTGTCTGGTGTTGGACTATGGGGCTGGGGTCAGTCTGGTGTTGGACTATGGGGCTGGGGTCAGTCTGGTGTTGGACTATGGGGCTGGGGTCTGTCTGGTGTTGGACTATGGGGCTGGGGTCAGTCTGGTGTTGGACTATGGGGCTGGGGTCAGTCTGGTGTTGGACTATGGGGCTGGGGTCAGTCTGGTGTTGGACTATGGGGCTGGGGTCAGTCTGGTGTTGGACTATGGGGCTGGGGTCAGTCTGGTGTTGGACTATGGGGCTGGGGTCAGTCTGGTGTTGGACTATGGGGCTGGGGTCAGTCTGGTGTTGGACTATGGGGCTGGGGTCTCTCTGGTGTTGGACTATGGGGCTAGGGTCTGTCTGGTGTTGGACTATGGGGCTGGGGTCTCTCTGGTGTTGGACTATGGGGCTGGGGTCTCTCTGGTGTTGGACTATGGGGCTGGGGTCTGTCTGGTGTTGGACTATGGGGCTGGGGTCTGTCTGGTGTTGGACTATGGGGCTGGGGTCAGTCTGGTGTTGGACTATGGGGCTGGGGTCAGTCTGGTGTTGGACTATGGGGCTGGGGTCAGTCTGGTGTTGGACTATGGGGCTGGGGTCAGTCTGGTGTTGGACTATGGGGCTGGGGTCTCTCTGGTGTTGGACTATGGGGCTGGGGTCAGTCTGGTGTTGGACTATGGGGCTGGGGTCAGTCTGGTGTTGGACTATGGGGCTGGGGTCTCTCTGGTGTTGGACTATGGGGCTAGGGTCTGTCTGGTGTTGGACTATGGGGCCTGGGGTCTGTCTGGTGTTGGACTATGGGGCTGGGGTCTGTCTGGTGTTGGACTATGGGGCTGGGGTCTCTCTGGTGTTGGACTATGGGGCTGGGGTCTGTCTGGTGTTGGACTATGGGGCTGGGGTCTCTCTGGTGTTGGACTATGGGGCTGGGGTCAGTCTGGTGTTGGACTATGGGGCTGGGGTCTCTCTGGTGTTGGACTATGGGGCTGGGGTCAGTCTGGTGTTGGACTATGGGGCTGGGGTCAGTCTGGTGTTGGACTATGGGGCTGGGGTCTCTCTGGTGTTGGACTATGGGGCTGGGGTCAGTCTGGTGTTGGACTATGGGGCTGGGGTCAGTCTGGTGTTGGACTATGGGGCTGGGGTCTCTCTGGTGTTGGACTATGGGGCTGGGGTCAGTCTGGTGTTGGACTATGGGGCTGGGGTCTGTCTGGTGTTGGACTATGGGGCTAGGGTCTGTCTGGTGTTGGACTATGGGGCTGGGGTCAGTCTGGTGTTGGACTATGGGGCTGGGGTCAGTCTGGTGTTGGACTATGGGGCTGGGGTCTCTCTGGTGTTGGACTATGGGGCTGGGGTCAGTCTGGTGTTGGACTATGGGGCTGGGGTCAGTCTGGTGTTGGACTATGGGGCTGGGGTCTCTCTGGTGTTGGACTATGGGGCTGGGGTCTGTCTGGTGTTGGACTATGGGGCTGGGGTCAGTCTGGTGTTGGACTATGGGGCTGGGGTCAGTCTGGTGTTGGACTATGGGGCTAGGGTCTGTCTGGTGTTGGACTATGGGGCTGGGGTCTGTCTGGTGTTGGACTATGGGGCTGGGGTCAGTCTGGTGTTGGACTATGGGGCTGGGGTCTCTCTGGTGTTGGACTATGGGGCTGGGGTCAGTCTGGTGTTGGACTATGGGGCTGGGGTCAGTCTGGTGTTGGACTATGGGGCTGGGGTCAGTCTGGTGTTGGACTATGGGGCTGGGGTCTCTCTGGTGTTGGACTATGGGGCTGGGGTCAGTCTGGTGTTGGACTATGGGGCTGGGGTCTCTCTGGTGTTGGACTATGGGGCTGGGGTCTGTCTGGTGTTGGACTATGGGGCTGGGGTCTCTCTGGTGTTGGACTATGGGGCTGGGGTCTGTCTGGTGTTGGACTATGGGGCTGGTGTCTGTCTGGTGTTGGACTATGGGGCTGGGGTCTCTCTGGTGTTGGACTATGGGGCTGGGGTCTGTCTGGTGTTGGACTATGGGGCTAGGGTCTGTCTGGTGTTGGACTATGGGGCTGGGGTCTGTCTGGTGTTGGACTATGGGGCTGGGGTCTGTCTGGTGTTGGACTATGGGGCTGGGGTCTCTCTGGTGTTGGACTATGGGGCTGGGGTCAGTCTGGTGTTGGACTATGGGGCTGGGGTCTCTCTGGTGTTGGACTATGGGGGGCTGGGGTCAGTCTGGTGTTGGACTATGGGGCTGGGGTCTCTCTGGTGTTGGACTATGGGGCTGGGGTCAGTCTGGTGTTGGACTATGGGGCTGGGGTCTCTCTGGTGTTGGACTATGGGGGGCTGGGGTCTGTCTGGTGTTGGACTATGGGGCTAGGGTCTGTCTGGTGTTGGACTATGGGGCTGGGGTCTCTCTGGTGTTGGACTATGGGGCTGGGGTCAGTCTGGTGTTGGACTATGGGGCTGGGGTCAGTCTGGTGTTGGACTATGGGGCTGGGGTCTCTCTGGTGTTGGACTATGGGGCTAGGGTCTGTCTGGTGTTGGACTATGGGGCTGGGGTCTCTCTGGTGTTGGACTATGGGGCTGGGGTCTCTCTGGTGTTGGACTATGGGGCTGGGGTCTCTCTGGTGTTGGACTATGGGGCTGGGGTCTGTCTGGTGTTGGACTATGGGGCTGGGGTCTGTCTGGTGTTGGACTATGGGGCTGGGGTCTGTCTGGTGTTGGACTATGGGGCTGGGGTCTGTCTGGTGTTGGACTATGGGGCTGGGGTCTCTCTGGTGTTGGACTATGGGGCTGGGGTCTGTCTGGTGTTGGACTATGGGGCTGGGGTCTCTCTGGTGTTGGACTATGGGGCTGGGGTCAGTCTGGTGTTGGACTATGGGGCTGGGGTCTGTCTGGTGTTGGACTATGGGGCTGGGGTCTGTCTGGTGTTGGACTATGGGGCTAGGGTCTCTCTGGTGTTGGACTATGGGGCTGGGGTCTCTCTGGTGTTGGACTATGGGGCTGGGGTCAGTCTGGTGTTGGACTATGGGGCTGGGGTCTCTCTGGTGTTGGACTATGGGGCTGGGGTCTCTCTGGTGTTGGACTATGGGGCTGGGGTCAGTCTGGTGTTGGACTATGGGGCTAGGGTCTGTCTGGTGTTGGACTATGGGGCTGGGGTCTCTCTGGTGTTGGACTATGGGGCTGGGGTCTGTCTGGTGTTGGACTATGGGGCTGGGGTCTGTCTGGTGTTGGACTATGGGGGGCTGGGGTCTCTCTGGTGTTGGACTATGGGGCTGGGGTCTCTCTGGTGTTGGACTATGGGGCTGGGGTCTCTCTGGTGTTGGACTATGGGGCTGGGGTCAGTCTGGTGTTGGACTATGGGGCTGGGGTCAGTCTGGTGTTGGACTATGGGGCTGGGGTCTCTCTGGTGTTGGACTATGGGGCTAGGGTCTGTCTGGTGTTGGACTATGGGGCTGGGGTCTCTCTGGTGTTGGACTATGGGGCTGGGGTCTCTCTGGTGTTGGACTATGGGGCTGGGGTCTCTCTGGTGTTGGACTATGGGGCTGGGGTCAGTCTGGTGTTGGACTATGGGGCTGGGGTCAGTCTGGTGTTGGACTATGGGGCTGGGGTCTCTCTGGTGTTGGACTATGGGGCTGGGGTCAGTCTGGTGTTGGACTATGGGGCTGGGGTCTCTCTGGTGTTGGACTATGGGGCTGGGGTCAGTCTGGTGTTGGACTATGGGGCTGGGGTCAGTCTGGTGTTGGACTATGGGGCTGGGGTCTCTCTGGTGTTGGACTATGGGGCTGGGGTCAGTCTGGTGTTGGACTATGGGGCTGGGGTCAGTCTGGTGTTGGACTATGGGGCTGGGGTCTCTCTGGTGTTGGACTATGGGGCTGGGGTCAGTCTGGTGTTGGACTATGGGGCTGGGGTCTCTCTGGTGTTGGACTATGGGGCTGGGGTCTGTCTGGTGTTGGACTATGGGGCTGGGGTCTCTCTGGTGTTGGACTATGGGGCTGGGGTCTCTCTGGTGTTGGACTATGGGGCTAGGGTCTGTCTGGTGTTGGACTATGGGGCTGGGGTCTGTCTGGTGTTGGACTATGGGGCTGGGGTCTCTCTGGTGTTGGACTATGGGGCTGGGGTCTTTCTGGTGTTGGACTATGGGGCTGGGGTCTGTCTGGTGTTGGACTATGGGGCTGGGGTCTGTCTGGTGTTGGACTATGGGGCTGGGGTCTGTCTGGTGTTGGACTATGGGGCTGGGGTCTCTCTGGTGTTGGACTATGGGGCTGGGGTCTTTCTGGTGTTGGACTATGGGGCTGGGGTCTCTCTGGTGTTGGACTATGGGGCTGGGGTCTCTCTGGTGTTGGACTATGGGGGGCTGGGGTCTGTCTGGTGTTGGACTATGGGGCTAGGGTCTCTCTGGTGTTGGACTATGGGGCTGGGGTCTCTCTGGTGTTGGACTATGGGGCTGGGGTCTCTCTGGTGTTGGACTATGGGGCTGGGGTCTCTCTGGTGTTGGACTATGGGGGGCTGGGGTCTGTCTGGTGTTGGACTATGGGGCTGGGGTCTCTCTGGTGTTGGACTATGGGGCTGGGGTCTGTCTGGTGTTGGACTATGGGGCTGGGGTCTCTCTGGTGTTGGACTATGGGGCTAGGGTCTCTCTGGTGTTGGACTATGGGGCTGGGGTCTCTCTGGTGTTGGACTATGGGGCTGGGGTCTGTCTGGTGTTGGACTATGGGGCTGGGGTCTCTCTGGTGTTGGACTATGGGGCTGGGGTCAGTCTGGTGTTGGACTATGGGGCTGGGGTCTCTCTGGTGTTGGACTATGGGGCTGGGGTCTGTCTGGTGTTGGACTATGGGGCTGGGGTCTCTCTGGTGTTGGACTATGGGGCTGGGGTCTCTCTGGTGTTGGACTATGGGGCTGGGGTCTGTCTGGTGTTGGACTATGGGGCTGGGGTCTGTCTGGTGTTGGACTATGGGGCTGGGGTCTCTCTGGTGTTGGACTATGGGGCTGGGGTCTTTCTGGTGTTGGACTATGGGGCTGGGGTCTCTCTGGTGTTGGACTATGGGGCTGGGGTCTCTCTGGTGTTGGACTATGGGGGGCTGGGGTCTGTCTGGTGTTGGACTATGGGGCTAGGGTCTCTCTGGTGTTGGACTATGGGGCTGGGGTCTCTCTGGTGTTGGACTATGGGGCTGGGGTCTCTCTGGTGTTGGACTATGGGGCTGGGGTCTCTCTGGTGTTGGACTATGGGGGGCTGGGGTCTGTCTGGTGTTGGACTATGGGGCTGGGGTCTCTCTGGTGTTGGACTATGGGGCTGGGGTCTGTCTGGTGTTGGACTATGGGGCTGGGGTCTCTCTGGTGTTGGACTATGGGGCTAGGGTCTCTCTGGTGTTGGACTATGGGGCTGGGGTCTCTCTGGTGTTGGACTATGGGGCTGGGGTCTCTCTGGTGTTGGACTATGGGGCTAGGGTCTCTCTGGTGTTGGACTATGGGGCTGGGGTCTCTCTGGTGTTGGACTATGGGGCTGGGGTCAGTCTGGTGTTGGACTATGGGGCTGGGGTCTCTCTGGTGTTGGACTATGGGGCTGGGGTCTCTCTGGTGTTGGACTATGGGGCTGGGGTCAGTCTGGTGTTGGACTATGGGGCTGGGGTCAGTCTGGTGTTGGACTATGGGGCTAGGGTCTCTCTGGTGTTGGACTATGGGGCTGGGGTCAGTCTGGTGTTGGACTATGGGGCTGGGGTCTCTCTGGTGTTGGACTATGGGGCTGGGGTCTCTCTGGTGTTGGACTATGGGGCTAGGGTCTCTCTGGTGTTGGACTATGGGGCTAGGGTCTCTCTGGTGTTGGACTATGGGGCTGGGGTCTCTCTGGTGTTGGACTATGGGGCTAGGGTCTGTCTGGTGTTGGACTATGGGGCTGGGGTCTCTCTGGTGTTGGACTATGGGGCTAGGGTCTCTCTGGTGTTGGACTATGTGTGGAGTGTGCAGATGGAGAACATTTTTGTTGATGCTGATCCAGTTTATTTCAGAAACAAGTTGAGATGTGATGTTGGAGAAGTTTATGTTGAAAAGTAAAAACATAAATGGTTAAACAATGTCTTGTGTAAGAAGCCAAAGCTGAGAACTTATGTTTTGATAAAAGATCATTTTGGTCCTGACCCTGTGACCTTGAACATGACCAGAGGTCAGAGGTCAGTCTGTGAGGTCTGGGACCCTCTGGTCTGGGACCCTCTGGTCTGGGACCCTCTGGTCTGGGACCCTGGTCTGGGACCCTCTGGTCTGGGACCCTGGTCTGGGACCCTGGTCTGGGACCCTGGTCTGGGACCCTGGTCTGGGACCCTGGTCTGGGACCCTCTGGTCTGGGACCCTCTGGTCTGGGACCCTCTGGTCTGGGACCCTGGTCTGGGACCCTCTGGTCTGGGACCCTGGTCTGGGACCCTGGTCTGGGACCCTCTGGTCTGGGACCCTCTGGTCTGGGACCCTCTGGTCTGGGACCCTGGTCTGGGACCCTGGTCTGGGACCCTGGTCTGGGACCCTCTGGTCTGGGACCCTGGTCTGGGACCCTGGTCTGGGACCCTGGTCTGGGACCCTCTGGTCTGGGACCCTGGTCTGGGACCCTGGTCTGGGACCCTGGTCTGGGACCCTCTGGTCTGGGACCCTCTGGTCTGGGACCCTGGTCTGGGACCCTGGTCTGGGACCCTCTGGTCTGGGACCCTCTGGTCTGGGACCCTCTGGTCTGGGACCCTGGTCTGGGACCCTGGTCTGGGACCCTCTGGTCTGGGACCCTCTGGTCTGGGACCCTCTGGTCTGGGACCCTCTGGTCTGGGACCCTCTGGTCTGGGACCCTCTGGTCTGGGACCCTCTGGTCTGGGACCCTGGTCTGGGACCCTCTGGTCTGGGACCCTGGTCTGGGACCCTGGTCTGGGACCTGGTCTGGGACCCTGGTCTGGGACCCTGGTCTGGGACCCTCTGGTCTGGGACCCTGGTCTGGGACCCTGGTCTGGGACCCTGGTCTGGGACCCTCTGGTCTGGGACCCTCTGGTCTGGGACCCTCTGGTCTGGGACCCTGGTCTGGGACCCTGGTCTGGGACCCTCTGGTCTGGGACCCTCTGGTCTGGGACCCTGGTCTGGGACCCTCTGGTCTGGGACCCTCTGGTCTGGGACCCTCTGGTCTGGGACCCTCTGGTCTGGGACCCTCTGGTCTGGGACCCTCTGGTCTGGGACCCTCTGGTCTGGGACCCTGGTCTGGGACCCTCTGGTCTGGGACCCTCTGGTCTGGGACCCTCTGGTCTGGGACCCTCTGGTCTGGGACCCTCTGGTCTGGGACCCTCTGGTCTGGGACCCTGGTCTGGGACCCTCTGGTCTGGGACCCTCTGGTCTGGGACCCTGGTCTGGGACCCTCTGGTCTGGGGGACCCTCTGGTCTGGGACCCTGGTCTGGGACCCTCTGGTCTGGGACCCTCTGGTCTGGGACCCTGGTCTGGGACCCTCTGGTCTGGGACCCTCTGGTCTGGGACCCTCTGGTCTGGGACCCTGGTCTGGGACCCTCTGGTCTGGGACCCTCTGGTCTGGGACCCTCTGGTCTGGGACCCTGGTCTGGGACCCTCTGGTCTGGGACCCGCTGGTCTGGGACCCTCTGGTCTGGGACCCTGGTCTGGGACCCTGGTCTGGGACCCTGGTCTGGGACCCTGGTCTGGGACCCTGGTCTGGGACCCTGGTCTGGGACCCTCTGGTCTGGGACCCTCTGGTCTGGGACCCTCTGGTCTGGGACCCTGGTCTGGGACCCTGGTCTGGGACCCTCTGGTCTGGGACCCTGGTCTGGGACCCTGGTCTGGGACCCTCTGGTCTGGGACCCTGGTCTGGGACCCTCTGGTCTGGGACCCTGGTCTGGGACCCTGGTCTGGGACCCTGGTCTGGACCCTGGTCTGGGACCCTGGTCTGGGACCCTCTGGTCTGGGACCCTCTGGTCTGGGACCCTGGTCTGGGACCCGGTGGCTGGTCTGACCCTGGTCTGGGACCCTGGTCTGGGACCCTCTGGTCCGTCTGGGACCCTCTGGTCTGGGACCTCTGGTCTGGGACCCTGGTCTGGGACCTGGTCTGGGACCCTCTGGTCTGGGACCCTCTGGTCTGGGACCCTCTGGTCTGGGACCCTGACCTGGTCTGGGACCCTCTGGTCTGGGACCCTCTGGTCTGGGACCCTGGTCTGGGACCCTCTGGTCTGGGACCCTCTGGTCTGGGACCCTCTGGTCTGGGACCCTGGTCTGGGACCCTCTGGTCTGGGACCCTGGGACCCTGGTCTGGGACCCTGGTCTGGGACCCTCTGGTCTGGGACCCTCTGGTCTGGGACCCTGGTCTGGGACCCTGGTCTGGGACCCTGGTCTGGGACCCTGGTCTGGGACCCTCTGGTCTGGGACCCTGGTCTGGGACCCTCTGGTCTGGGACCCTGGCTCTGGGACCCTGGTCTGGGACCCTGGCTCTGGGACCCTCTGGTCTGGGACCCTCTGGTCTGGGACCCTGGTCTGGGACCCTGGTCTGGGACCCTGGCTCTGGGACCCTGGTCTGGGACCCTGGCTCTGGAGACAGATCCATTTCCCTCGGTCCCAGAGGAGGAGAGGACATGTTGTTTGTGTCTCTTAAATGATATTGAAAATGAAGTGTTGTGTTTTATTGTCCTGTGTACCATGAACTGAGAAGGTAAGTATTCTGTAAACTGATGGTTCTGAACTTTAGTTTGAACTGTTTCTGTTCAAGTACAAGCCTTTTCATCTTTTCATTTGTCTAAGTTTGTGTGAAGTGACGGCTCCAACGGAGGAGGACACTCTGCTTCATCTTTGTGCCTTATACGCCCACACGGACTGGGCACCCGTAGGTGCAAGACACCAAAGAAGAAATACACTAAACTAAAACTATTATAATAGATCCATGGTGTATGGTCTCTGAGCTCACCTGGTACTTTTCTGGGATCCACAGCTCCCTCTGCAGGAAGTCCTGGACAGTGCAGTCCTCCAGAGAATCAAATTGAGACTGAGACATCTTCATGTTCTTCCTGCAACACACTCTAATTAGTTAACCAGTTAGAAGCACTGCTAACCTCACAGCCTCTGGGATCTCTCGGTCTGCCTCTGGTCTCGGTCTGCCTCTGGTCTCGGTCTGCCTCTCTCGCTCTGGTCTCTCGCTCTGGTCTCTCGCTCTGGTCTCTCGCTCTGGTCTCTCGCTCTGGTCTCTCGCTCTGGTCTCTCGCTCTGGTCTCTCGCTCTGGTCTCTCGCTCTGGTCTCTCGCTCTGGTCTCTCGCTCTGGTCTCTCGCTCTGGTCTCTCGCTCTGGTCTCTCGCTCTGGTCTCTCGCTCTGGTCTCTCGCTCTGGTCTCTCGCTCTGGTCTCTCGCTCTGGTCTCTCGCTCTGGTCTCTCGCTCTGGTCTCTCGCTCTGGTCTCTCGCTCTGGTCTCTCGCTCTGGTCTCGCTCTCTCAGACTCTCACCTGATGAGGTATCGCTGCTCCTCAGGTCCATATGGTTCTCCTCGAAGCCTGAAGCGGTAGAACCAGGTGAGGTTCCACACCAGGAACCGAATCATGGTGACAGGAGCCAGGACCAGCTGACACAGCAGGAGGTCCCACACACTAGGCTTCTGGTAACTGCCCTTCAGGACGAGAGCGAGCAGAGGACAAGGTGAGACACCAGAGAGAGAGACCAGAGAGAGACCAGAGAGAGACCAGAGAGAGACCAGAGAGACCAGAGAGAGAGACCAGAGAGAGAGACCAGAGAGAGACCAGAGAGAGACCAGAGAGAGACCAGAGAGAGAGACCAGAGAGAGAGACCAGAGAGAGAGACCAGAGAGAGACCAGAGAGAGAGACCAGAGGGAGAGGCCAGAGAGAGACCAGAGAGAGAGACCAGAGAGAGACCAGAGAGAGAGACCAGAGAGAGAGCAGAGAGACCGACCAGAGAGAGAGACCAGAGAGAGAGCAGAGAGACCGACCAGAGAGAGACCAGAGAGAGACCAGAGAGAGACCAGAGAGAGACCAGAGAGAGACCAGAGAGACCAGAGAGAGAGACCAGAGAGAGAGACCAGAGAGAGAGAGACCAGAGAGAGAGAGAGAGAGACCAGAGGGAGAGACCAGAGGGAGAGGCCAGAGAGAGAGACCCGAGAGAGAGACCAGAGAGAGACCAGAGAGACCAGAGAGAGAGAGCAGAGACCGACCAGAGAGAGACCAGAGAGAGAGACCAGAAAGAGAGACCAGAGAGAGAGAGCAGAGACCGACCAGAGAGAGACCAGAGAGAGAGACCAGAGAGAGACCAGAGAGAGAGACCAGAGAGAGAGACCAGAGAGAGAGACCAGAGAGAGAGACCAGAGAGAGAGACCAGAGAGAGAGACCAGAGAGAGAGACCAGACACACACACAGACACACACACCTTGATGTCGATCTTGGTCTGGATGATGGAGCGGATCACCTGCTCCTCCTGGTCCCGCACCTCCTCCTTGCTCCTCCTGTTCTTCCCTCGCTCCTTCACAGGGAGCAGCAGGCCCTGCTCCTGCGCGATCGTCACGGCCTGCAGCCGGTACTTAGGAACTGTCACCAGGTACTTTATGGCCTCGTTATAGCTGCTGTGCCAGCTGTAGTACTACAGGTACACACACACAGATAGATATACACACACAGATAGATATACACACACACACATATAGATATACACACACAGATAGATATACACACACACACAGACAGATATACACACACAGATAGATATACACACACAGATAGATATACACACACAGATAGATATACACACACAGATAGATATACACACACATATAGATATACACACACAGATAGATATACACACACAGATATATACACACACAGATAGATATACACACACACAGATAGATACACACACACAGATAGATATACACACACAGATAGATATACACACAGATAGATATACACACACAGATAGATATACACAGACACACACACACACACACACACACAGATAGATATACACACACACAGATAAATATACACACACAGATAGATATACACAGACACACACACACACAGATAGATATACACAGATACAGATACACACACACACACACACACACACACACACACACACAGATAGAGACACACACACACAGATAGATATACACAGACACACACACACACCTAAAGCTGAGGGACCCGACTATCACACACACACAGCCTACAGGTCCAGTGCTAAAAAAAGCTGAGGGACCTGACTACTATCTCACACACACAGCCTCAGGTCAGTGCTATAAAGCTCATTGAGGGGGACCTGACTATCACACACACACACACACACACACACACACACACAGCCTCAGGTCAGAGCTAAAGCTGAGGGACCCGACTATCACACACACACACAACCAGCCTCAAGTCAGAGCTAAAGCTGAGGGACCCGACTATCACACACACAGCCTCAGGTCAGTGCTTAAAGCTGAGGGACCTGACTATCACCACACACAGCCTCAGGTCAGTGCTAAAGCTGAGGGACCTGACTATCACACACACTAGCCTCAGGTCAGAGCTAAAGCTGAGGGACCCGACTATCACACACACAGCCTCAGGTCAGTGCTAAAGCTGAGGGACCTGACTATCACACACACACACAGCCTCAGGTCAGTGCTAAAGCTGAGGGACCTGACTATCACACACACACACAGCCTCAGGTCAGAGCTAAAGCTGAGGGACCCGACTATCACACACACACACAGCCTCAGGTCAGAGCTAAAGCTGAGGGACCCGACTATCACACACACAGCCTCAGGTCAGTGCTAAAGCTGAGGGACCTGACTATCACACACACAGCCTCAGGTCAGTGCTAAAGCTGAGGGACCTGACTATCCACACACAGCCTCAGGTCAGAGCTAAAGCTGAGGGACCCGACTATCACACACACACACAGCCTCAGGTCAGTGCTAAAGCTGAGGGACCTGACTATCACACACACACACACACAGCCTCAGGTCAGAGCTAAAGCTGAGGGACCCGACTATCACACACACAGCCTCAGGTCAGTGCTAAAGCTGAGGGACCTGACTATCACACACACACACACACACACAGCCTCAGGTCAGAGCTAAAGCTGAGGGACCTGACTATCACACACACACACAGCCTCAGGTCAGTGCTAAAGCTGAGGGACCTGACTATCACACACACACACAGCCTCAGGTCAGTGCTAAAGCTGAGGGACCTGACTATCACACACACACAGCCTCAGGTCAGTGCTAAAGCTGAGGGACCTGACTATCACACACACAGCCTCAGGTCAGAGCTAAAGCTGAGGGACCTGACTATCACACACACACAGCCTCAGGTCAGTGCTAAAGCTGAGGGACCTGACTATCACACACACAGCCTCAGGTCAGTGCTAAAGCTGAGGGACCTGACTATCACACACACAGCCTCAGGTCAGAGCTAAAGCTGAGGGACCTGACTATCACACACACACACAGCCTCAGGTCAGTGCTAAAGCTGAGGGACCTGACTATCACACACACAGCCTCAGGTCAGTGCTAAAGCTGAGGGACCCGACTATCACACACACAGCCTCAGGTCAGTGCTAAAGCTGAGGGACCTGACTATCACACACACAGCCTCAGGTCAGTGCTAAAGCTGAGGGACCTGACTATCACACACACACACAGCCTCAGGTCAGAGCTAAAGCTGAGGGACCCGACTATCACACACACACACAGCCTCAAGTCAGAGCTAAAGCTGAGGGACCCGACTATCACACACACAGCCTCAGGTCAGTGCTAAAGCTGAGGGACCTGACTATCACACACACAGCCTCAGGTCAGTGCTAAAGCTGAGGGACCTGACTATCACACACACACACCAGCCTCAGGTCAGAGCTAAAGCTGAGGGACCCGACTATCACACACACAGCCTCAGGTCAGTGCTAAAGCTGAGGGACCTGACTATCACACACACAGCCTCAGGTCAGTGCTAAAGCTGAGGGACCTGACTATCACACACACAGCCTCAGGTCAGTGCTAAAGCTGAGGGACCTGACTATCACACACACAGCCTCAGGTCAGTGCTAAAGCTGAGGGACCTGACTATCACACACACACACACACACAGCCTCAGGTCAGTGCTAAAGCTGAGGGACCTGACTATCACACACACAGCCTCAGGTCAGTGCTAAAGCTGAGGGACCCGACTATCACACACACAGCCTCAGGTCAGAGCTAAAGCTGAGGGACCTGACTATCACACACACACACACAGCCTCAGGTCAGTGCTAAAGCTGAAGGACCTGACTATCACACACACACAGCCTCAGGTCAGTGCTAAAGCTGAGGGACCTGACTATCACACACACAGCCTCAGGTCAGTGCTAAAGCTGAGGGACCTGACTATCACACACACACAGCCTCAGGTCAGAGCTAAAGCTGAGGGACCCGACTATCACACACGCACACAGCCTCAAGTCAGAGCTAAAGCTGAGGGACCCGACTATCACACACACAGCCTCAGGTCAGTGCTAAAGCTGAGGGACCTGACTATCACACACACAGCCTCAGGTCAGTGCTAAAGCTGAGGGACCTGACTATCACACACAGCCTCAGGTCAGAGCTAAAGCTGAGGGACCCGACTATCACACACACAGCCTCAGGTCAGTGCTAAAGCTGAGGGACCTGACTATCACACACAGCCTCAGGTCAGAGCTAAAGCTGAGGGACCCGACTATCACACACACAGCCTCAGGTCAGTGCTAAAGCTGAGGGACCTGACTATCACACACACACACACACACAGCCTCAGGTCAGAGCTAAAGCTGAGGGACCTGACTATCACACACACACACAGCCTCAGGTCAGTGCTAAAGCTGAGGGACCTGACTATCACACACACAGCCTCAGGTCAGTGCTAAAGCTGAGGGACCTGACTATCACACACACAGCCTCAGGTCAGTGCTAAAGCTGAGGGACCTGACTATCACACACACAGCCTCAGGTCAGAGCTAAAGCTGAGGGACCTGACTATCACACACACACAGCCTCAGGTCAGTGCTAAAGCTGAGGGACCTGACTATCACACACACAGCCTCAGGTCAGTGCTAAAGCTGAGGGACCTGACTATCACACACACAGCCTCAGGTCAGAGCTAAAGCTGAGGGACCTGACTATCACACACACAGCCTCAGGTCAGTGCTAAAGCTGAGGGACCTGACTATCACACACACACAGCCTCAGGTCAGTGCTAAAGCTGAGGGACCCGACTATCACACACACAGCCTCAGGTCAGTGCTAAAGCTGAGGGACCTGACTATCACACACACAGCCTCAGGTCAGAGCTAAAGCTGAGGGACCTGACTATCACACACACAGCCTCAGGTCAGTGCTAAAGCTGAGGGACCTGACTATCACACACACAGCCTCAGGTCAGAGCTAAAGCTGAAGGACCTGACTATCACACACACACACACAGCCTCAGGTCAGTGCTAAAGCTGAGGGACCTGACTATCACACACACACACAGCCTCAGGTCAGAGCTAAAGCTGAGGGACCTGACTATCACACACACACACAGCCTCAGGTCAGTGCTAAAGCTGAGGGACCTGACAATCACACACACAGCCTCAGGTCAGAGCTAAAGCTGAGGGACCTGACTATCACACACACAGCCTCAGGTCAGTGCTAAAGCTGAGGGACCCGACTATCACACACACAGCCTCAGGTCAGTGCTAAAGCTGAGGGACCTGACTATCACACACACAGCCTCAGGTCAGAGCTAAAGCTGAGGGACCTGACTATCACACACACAGCCTCAGGTCAGTGCTAAAGCTGAGGGACCCGACTATCACACACACAGCCTCAGGTCAGTGCTAAAGCTGAGGGACCTGACTATCACACACACAGCCTCAGGTCAGTGCTAAAGCTGAGGGACCTGACTATCACACACACAGCCTCAGGTCAGTGCTAAAGCTGAGGGACCTGACTATCACACACACACACACACACACACACACACACAGCCTCAGGTCAGAGCTAAAGCTGAGGGACCCGACTATCACACACACACACAGCCTCAAGTCAGAGCTAAAGCTGAGGGACCCGACTATCACACACACAGCCTCAGGTCAGTGCTAAAGCTGAGGGACCTGACTATCACACACACAGCCTCAGGTCAGTGCTAAAGCTGAGGGACCTGACTATCACACACACAGCCTCAGGTCAGAGCTAAAGCTGAGGGACCCGACTATCACACACACAGCCTCAGGTCAGTGCTAAAGCTGAGGGACCTGACTATCACACACACACACAGCCTCAGGTCAGAGCTAAAGCTGAGGGACCCGACTATCACACACACACACAGCCTCAGGTCAGAGCTAAAGCTGAGGGACCCGACTATCACACACACACACAGCCTCAGGTCAGAGCTAAAGCTGAGGGACCCGACTATCACACACACAGCCTCAGGTCAGTGCTAAAGCTGAGGGACCTGACTATCACACACACAGCCTCAGGTCAGTGCTAAAGCTGAGGGACCTGACTATCACACACAGCCTCAGGTCAGAGCTAAAGCTGAGGGACCCGACTATCACACACACAGCCTCAGGTCAGTGCTAAAGCTGAGGGA